GAGTTGACGTCACTTCTCCCGGCATGCAACAGTTCAAATCGAAACGGCGCCATCTTGGCAGGCAGAAGCCCGCAGCTGGACTATTTGTTATTGTCAGAAAACTCAAACGGGAAATATGGTAGATTCCTGTTGTGCCCCAGGATGCAGAACAGACATGGACGACATAAGGAATGAGCCATCTACAGGATTCCCCAAGATCCGGAGCGCCGCAAACGTTGGATCATTGTAATAAAACGCACTAGTGACCGGGCTGAAATGAAGCTGTGGGATCCCGAGAGTAAAGGATTTGGCTTATGCAGCGACCGCTTCATATCAGGTACTTAAACCAACGTTTCCTCAACTGTGTATGGTATTTATTTTAAATGCTTTTATTATGATTCTTAGTGGGCTTCCTAAACTTATTTTGGCGTGGCTTTTTCTGTCTTATTACTCATAGCAGCAAGTAAACATCACACATAAAAAGCACTTTGGATTGCTATTATCTGTCTCACCGAGACAGATCTCAGACAGATCCTGAGACGCTCCTGCCTGACATATTTATTTTATTCACGGAAAACAATCAGACTAGTGATTTGTCTTGGCGTTCAGTTTATACATTCAAACAGCACAGCACTCTATTTAAACTACTTTCATGAAAATCTATGTTATTTGTCCATCCATCCATTTTCATCCGCTTATCCGGAGTCGGGTTGCGGGGACATGTAGCGTCGAGAGACCCAGACTTCCCTCTCCCCAGCCGCCTGAGCCAGCTCCTCAGGTCCGGGGGAATCCCAAGGGGTTCCCCCGGCCGGGTCCGGTGTAGTCCGCTCCGACAGCTTCTGGCGTTTTTAAAAAGTATCCCAGGGGCACGGTAAGGGTCGGAGATGTTTAGTCTATTTAATTTCTGACTATATAAAACAATTTCTTCGGTTTTAAAGTGTGAAGTAAACTCCCGATGAAGTAAAATCCAAGCCGATCCCGTTCATGTTTAGGATCCGTGTTTGTTTAGATTCTTTTACCTGCCAATATGGCGTCTACTAACTGAGAGTCACGTGGGCTCCGGAGCTCTATTGGAGCGCCGATGCAGTGTCCAGTACAGAGTACTCTGGGAGGCTGGACTTTCTCTCTCTTTATTAGAGTGTGTGTGTGTGTGTTCTTACAGACAGGAAAAATATCTCAGCCAACATCACAGTGGATAACTTATATTTTCTTACGTGAGCTGTCTTTAGTTAGAGGAAAGTCAGTTTAGTTGTAGACCTGTGCAATAACAATAAATTAACTTGAACCTTGAATACTGTCCAATGTACTTCCTGAACGAGTGGCTTTTTACGGCTAAAATAACAAAATGACAAATACAGACAGAAGGACAACTTGGGTGTTCTCCCTTTTTCCTTTTGTAACGCATTGCATCACCACCTGGTATCAGAAGATGGTCAATGATCACACCACCTGGATTCAGATCAGGGTCAAAAGGTTGTAACATCTCTAGATATAAGTCAGCTTTAAAAACTAAACATTACATTCAGTTAATGACACTAAATTATATGTTTTTCCTAGTTTATATTATGCTGTTTGAACCATCGTTATTAATATATGGACAAAGGGTTTCCATAGACTCCAATAACAAGTTTTTGTGCTAAAATGGGAGGCCACCACCGCCATTTTGACCGTGTCACAGGTTCCGTCAAGCCCAGACAATTCCATAAAAGGGAAGAGAGGTGGAGCTGAGGGTGGAGCTGTAAGGCTGGGATCAACTGACGACACCCGGTCGAACTAGCTACTAGCTACAAGCTAACCTGAAGCTAACCCAAAGAGCTCCACAAGCCGATAGTCGGAACCCAGCTCCACCAACATGTTATATTTCAACCCATTTTCTAAAGTGCAGCTCGGCAGTGACCTAAAATACATAAATATAATTTTACTTACCGAAAAAAATGAAGTGGAGACACCTTGGACGCTCTATTAGTGCAATTAATGCCACAGCAAGTCATTTTGTCCAACAATTGCACCAATAATATCCAAACAAGAATACACAAACACAGAGACTCAAAATCCCGGAGCAGTTTCCAAGCCAGACCGAGGCTCTACTGAGGCCTTTCCCCGGAGCTAGCTCTGTGGTCACGTGGGTCTGATGCTCATTAATTATACAGAATTTTAGGCTTTTAATACACTTAAACAGAAGAGTGAGAAAAACATTCACCCCCCTCAGAGTTGTCATGAGTGTAAACTAGATCATTTAAACCAAAAACATGTTTTGGTACCAGGCTGTAAACATGTTTATTTCTGCTGTGGAGTTGGTATTTTTAACATGGGAGTCAATGAGGATTTGCTCGCTTCTGACACCAGCCCCTAGTGGATGAGGGTGGAACTGCAATTTTTGGTACTTCCGGGTTGGGACCAGTTTTAGAGCCGCATTGTGGGGGCTTGGTTTGAACCCAAGGGTCTCATTATCTGTATTTGGGGCCGGGTAGGGGTCCACATTTCACGATGGCTGTGGAAGTCACAGTGGGCGACCCTCTGTAGGCCACATGTTTGCCCAGAGCGAACCCACATGGTGGTTTGCTGGGATGTCTGAAGGATTTCCCAGATAGGTCGATGCACACTAACACGTGTGAAAGCTTTTATGGTCAGCGATGGCTACATTCACAGCTCATGATGAGTGAACGAGCCGCTGACCACAACTGTAAGATTGTGAGTGATGGTGATCTGCACTAATTGTTCACTGGAAGGATCGCAGAGCGTAGCGATCCCTGCAGTTCCACAACCTTTTGGTTCGTGGTTCGTTCATCTTGACGCCTCTCCGGGGAAACAAAAGCCACTTGAGAAAGATCTTGTGCTGTTAGAAGCTATTTTAGACGTTAGGCGGGTTTTTCTGGACTCCCCAACAGCAACTAAAGGCCTGCACACACCCTTAATAAAACCCATCCATCTGGAAGGTTCGGCACAAAACAAGTCTCCCTTCTAGAGAGCGTGGTGCTCAGGGCCGCGGTTTCTGATTCCTCCTCAGCAATGGTAATGTGATGATAAGGAGCTTATCAGCTCTTGTTGCCCCCCAATAGTGACGGACAAGACAAAGACCAGGGAACCAGCATGCTACCATTACCGTCATGGTGACATTTCCACGTCCACTTAACACCCACGCTAGGTCAGCTGTTCCTAATATGGCCACCAACACCAATTTAGCTGACGTCCAGGGGTGTGAGTGCACCGAGGGGTGAACCATGACCCTTGTTTGTAAGCACGGTTCCTGTGTTGAATGTGAAAAGAGGCCCCCGTGTGTTCTGAGATGTTTGGGTCGTGGTGTCATGGGGAATGGTTCTTCCTGTTACCAGCTGAGACACCTGCCCAGAGAAACGCCACAGGTGTGGGGTAACACCACAGACCAGTAGCTGAAGATGCAGGACGTTGATTTAGGCCATAAGACGAATACAAAACGGCCTGGTTTGAATTTATTGGAGGCTTTCTGATGAAGTCTCTTGAGTTGTAGCTCTGGGCTTGAGGCCTTAGCTGACCTTTAACCTTTGTCCTGAGGATTCTGCCCCGCCCTCTCCCCAGAGCTTTGTGTTGATTTGGATGCGTTTGTCTCACCAGATAATGTCCCCTTCCCTTTGTGCCTCTTCAGGCTGAACCTCCGTCCTGCAGAGCGTGGCGTCTGCTGCCCGCGGTGCTCGATGCCGCAGAGAGAAACGAGACCCGCGGCAGAGTGTCGTGTTCAGCAGAGGAGCTGGAGATCGTGCCTCACACTTCTCTTCTGCTGTTCCTGTTGCCTTCAGTTACAGGCAAAAGATTTCTAATGGGTGTCCCAGATTTACGTCTCCAGCTGGTCAGCCTTTAGTGACAAACGGCAGAGTTACAACTGGTAGTTAACTGCTGGTTACTGATAACCAACCCTCTCCTTCCAGAGTTTAAACAGCTGAGGAACAGATCTTCTCCAGACCTACAGAAACGCCTCACACTGCTGGAAATCTGATGTCCTTCACATCATTTCACAGCAACACCAGGTCTACACAGCATGTCCCTGCAGTCTGCTGCATGGTGCTGGGACCCAAGTTTTGCTTTTTTATTTGTGGTTTTTAGTGATTGAAGGTTACAACACCAGCTTACTGCCTACGTGTACCTGAATGATCGTCTTTAGTGTTACTGCTGCTGTAGCAAGTGGCTTTGCCCACTGTGGGATCAATAAAGTCTATTCGATCTGAACGAGGGGCCAGTTGACCTCGTGGCCTTTGACCCTCGTTAACCACCGGTTAGAGAGCTGTGGCCATCTGTGTGCCTTACTGTGCTGACTCCCTCCCTCACCCCTCCCTCACCCCTTTGTCTCCCTCAGTGTGTGTGTGTGCGTGCGTGAGTGTGTGTGTGTGTGTGTACCCCATACAGCAGTGACAGACAGGCTTGTTAACGCCACAGCATCCAGAATGATAATGAATCACACGCGCAGTAAGCCCCTACTGCCTGATTCTATCCGCCAGTCAGAGGCTCCACCTAATGGTGGGCATCAGTTGGCACTGCTGGATCTGTTCAGCTCCAGGACGACCACATTGGGAAGAGGGCTGAAAAGACGTCCGGTTGTGTGCTGGAAAATCCAGGGCTACCCAAGTGAGAACACTCCAGACCCAATCCAGGCAGAGAGGAGCTGATGCTAGTGTGTAAGTGTCATTAGATGGAGGCATGTTGGAGTCAGGGCAAGGGAGAGCCGTCTTTACCGACTGTACACTCCACCTCCCTCTACTCCCCCACTTGTCCAGATTTAGGCTAACATCAGATTTTAACTATAGGCCCTATCAAAATAAAAATGTTTTAAGCCTATTCTTAAAAGTAGACAAAGTGTCTGCCTCACAGACTAAAGCTGGGAGCTGGTTCCACAGGAGAGGAGCCTGATAACTAAAAGATCTGCCTCCTATCCTAATTTTAGATATTCTGGGAACCACCAGTAGACCTGCAGTCTGAGAGCGAAGTGCTCGGTTAGGAACGTTATAAGTTTGATAATCTAACGCTGAAATGATGACAGTATTTACAAAAACTAGTAGAACTCATTCATTCACTTGTTCATCACATGTGCTTCTGAGGGAATACACAAACACACATTAACTGCTGTTTCATGTTTCAGCCTTGAATGGATTTTAAAAAACAACCAGTTGAACTTTCGAACTTTACAATCAGAGGTTCATCTACCCCCGCTATCACTCAGCAGCCTCCTGCCTGCTGATTGTTGACAGTATCGACCGACTCTGGACGTCTGATCGACCCTGATGGGAAGCAGGGATCTGCTCTGAGGCGAGCTAGCGCTCCGGGATCCCCGCCGTGGTCCTGTTGCTGCACTGAGACTCGTCAGACTCGTTTTTTAGGACGTGCTCTCTGACACGGCCGTCTTCTTCCTGAAACAGCACCTTCACTGTCATTGGAGAGCATTTGTCTGCTTTACATTTGATGGTCACGGTGTGGTTGGATGTTTGCAGAGTGCAGGAGCTGAGATCAGCCACGTCCTCTTTGGACAGGTGACACAACAGCTGGTCTCTGTCCACAGAAGCGACGGGCCGTTGTCGCAGGTAGGCGGGGCTTTCACACACCACGCCGTGTAGCATCTCCACGTTCTGGCTGTTCTGCAGTAGCCAGTCGTGCAGGTACCACAGGTGGCAGTCACATTTCCAGGGGTTTCCGTGCAGTCTGGTGGAGTGCTGGAAGCTAAAGGAGTCCATTAGACCCACGGGGAGAGTTTCCAGTCGGTTTTCAGAAAGGTAGAGCCTCTGAATAAACGCCTGGTCCTCAAACAGCTGGGGCTCCAACCTGGTCAGGTTGTTACGGTGGAGGCTGATCTCCTTGATGTTAAACAAGTGTTTAAAGATCCTTTCAGGCAGCGTCACCAGCTGGTTTTCAGAAAGCTCCAGGTTCTCCAGGGCCGTTAGATTTATGAAAACGTCTTCTGCGAGGCTGGAGAGCTTGTTTTCTGACAGGGTGAGGTCAGTCAGCGAGGTCAGAGCGCTCAGGGACGACAGCTGGGTCAGCTGGTTGCCTCTCAGGTTGAGCTCCTTCAGATGTGTAGGCTCACGTCCAAACACGTTACGACTGAAGGTTGTCAGAAGGTTCCCACGGAGGTTCAGCACGCTCAGGTTAGTCAACAGAGAGAAGGAGCTGTCGCTGAGTCGTGCTAGCTTGTTGTGCTCTAAGTGAAGCTCCCGGAGCTGAGAAACGTTACTGAAGGTGTCAGGTGTCAGATGGCTGATCAGGTTGTTGTTTAGTTTCAGGACCTCCAGCCTCCTCAGGCCAGAAAACGTCTCATTGGCTACATCTTCAAGTCTGTTTTGGGACAAATCCAGAACACGCAACTTGTTCAGGTTCAGGAAGAGATAAGCAGGCAGAGCTGATATGAAGTTGTTCTTCATCTGCAGGGTCTCCAGCTGCTTCAGAGAGTCAAACGTTCCAGGAAGAAGCGACTTGAAGTTGTTGAAGTTGAGAGTCAGCTTCTGTAAACGGGCTTGATTTGAGAAGGTCCCCAGGAGCACATGATCCAGCCCGGGGTTCCCGCTGATCTCCAGCTCCTGCAGCTCAGTCAGGCGCTCCAAGGCTTTCAGGTGAATGCTCCTCAGCGCGTTGTTCAGAAAAACGAGCTTGGTGAGTTGTGGGCTCTCCTCCAGCGAGTGGGAGAACAGGTACGCCACAGAAGTCGTCATTATTATGAACTCCTTGACCTGAGCGGACATGTTTCTGGGTAAAGAGGCCATCCGTTCATCAGAACACAGCACCTGAACCGGAGTGAAACACTGGCACCTGTAGGGACAGGCACCCGGCCAGGAGCCGCTGCCGCTGGGGCGGAGGAGCAGCACGAGGACAGCCAGAGCCAGAGCCAAAGGTTTCGCCATGTTTCACTGTCGAAACAGGACGGAAGAATAAACTAGGATGTTTTCTGTTAAATCACAAGTCGAACGGGATACTTACATTCCTCAGAGTCACAGAAATCCCATGGCACTGACAGCGTCCTCCACAAACCAGCTGACACCAACAGCAAACAAGCAGGCTGAGATAGGAGAGAGAGCGTCGGGAGGCGGAGCGGCCTTCCCTCCGTTAGCAACTAAAATAAGAGCCTTCCTGCTGAGATGAAGAGACAAGCCAATCCACGTTCACGGCTATCAGTTCATTTAATTCGGTCCGGTCCGCTCCGGCCACACGAGGGAGCGACAGGTCACATGGTGTCTCTTCATTAAAGACCGCGATGTGGACTTTTATTCCAGAGGTGGGAATGTTGTTCCTCAGCCTGCTGCTCTGTGGATCAGGAGGTTTTTATTGCTGTGGATGATTTTCCCCAGCAGGTGGCGCCCTTTCCTTTTGATCATGATGGACATTCCCAGGTCCTTCCTTTCCTGCAGTTTATTCCTTGAGGATGGATAGGAACACGCCCTGGTGTGTGATTTTGGATCCGACTCAGGGGCGGAGCCTCCAGGAGCAACTCCAGGCTGCTTTCTGATCTCCTAACACATTTTTAAACATTTTGACACCGTATTTCGTTCTTAACGATGGCAAATGCAGGAGTGCAGCTTCTCGGCTTCACGCTGGCCTTCCTCGGATTCATCGGCGCTATAGCATCCACCGTCATGGTGGAGTGGAAAGCTTCATCCTACGCTGGGGAGAACCTGATCACAGCCCAAGCGCTGTACGAGGGCCTGTGGAAGAGCTGCGTTTACCAGAGCACGGGACAAATGCAGTGCAAAGTCTTCGACTCTCTCCTCCAGCTACCAGGTACCGGCCATTCTTCTCTTCAGAACTTTTGTTTAGGGCTCCAGAAGTCAACACCGAGCTGCGGTGGTTCCACAACAAACAACTCTGGAGGGAAGATGCAGATATGTGGGCCGCTCGTTTCTCGGTTCCTTATTTTAACTTGTTGCAGTTTAAATGAAACGAGTTAAAGTAAAGAGCTAAAAGAAAGCTGGAGGCTGGTTCCATCCCTCCTGGAGTTCTTCCTGACATTCCTCTAACGTGTGGAGACCTGCCGCATGCCAGCAGCCATCAGGTCAACGAGGGAGGCTCTTCCAGCAAAGCATCACCCGATCAGTACTCGACACGAGTCATCACAATGAACACGGCTGGCCCGAGTCAGGAGGACTGCATCCAGCACGGCTCACATCACTTTTAAAGTGATTTAGATTAATCAAGTTTTAACTAAATATTTAGCTTACATCCAAATTCAGGCGGCTAAAACCGATGCAGAGTGGAATGAAAGCAGGTCTGATGGAACAGTTGCGTGGATTCACGGCCCTGGAGGTGTTAGACAGGCACCTCCTCACCCTCCAGTGGAGTGTCCTGAACAGATGTGGTTTAAACACTTTGCTGCTGAACACCAGAGCATGTTTCTGTGTGCAGGGATGGTGCAGGGCGCACGAGGCCTGATGCTCTCCTCCATCCTGCTGTCGCTCCTCTCCCTGCTGGTGGCCATGGTGGGGATGAAGTGCACCACCTGCATGGAAGAACAACCTCAGCTGAAGGGCAAAGTGGCGATGGCCGGAGGGATTGTCTTCGTCATTGCTGGTAAAACCTTGGTCCCTGAGAATGATTTGGTTTCAACAACATCTGGAGAGCGTTCGTCTTTGTTTTCTGTTCATCTCTTTTTTATTCTTGTGGACATGCTGATGCCTTCGTTCTCCAGCATTCACAAACAGACTGGTGTGAGGCTGTAAACCACAACATCAAAGGGAATGCTTTCTGTTCAGGTGTGCTGAGTCTGGCTGGAACCTCCTGGTATGGAAACAGAATAGCACAAGACTTCTACAACCCCTTCACCCCGACTAACTCCAGGTAAGGAGGCCCTCGTCGCTTCTTTAACCTGAAAGCCTCGAGGACCAGGTGTTTCCTGCTGGGACAGACAGCCCTGCCCTGTGGGCTCCAACCCTAAAGTCCTACCTGTAACAACAGCTAACGGCTGTGTTTAGTTACATTCAGTTCCTCACACAACTTCAAATGCTTCAACGTAAAGTGTTATTGTTAAAGTTAGGTGTAATTAAATACAGGTGTTATTTTTCCCTGTTTTACCCGTTAACATGTGTCCTTCACAGGTATGAGTTTGGGAGTGCCCTGTACGTCGGCTGGGGGGCTTCCTTTCTGAGCATTATAGGTGGGGCCTTTCTCTGCTGCCACTGCTCCAGCCAGACCTCCAGGAAGAGTCCAAAGTACCCATCATCCAACGCTGCAGCAGGCGGCAGGGGCTACGTGTAGGCGGCCTCGGCTACCGGCAGACGGCCAGCCTTCTGGTCTCAGACCTAAACTCAACAAAATCAGACATTCCACCTTATTCTGGCAGAAATGTGCCGAGACACCGAAAAACCACAGAAACAAAACATTGTGTGCTCATTAAATGTATTATTTTAGACTAAATGTTTTTTTAGATGACTAAAATGTAGGTTAGATTATTCTAACATTACTGCCTGAGTTTCATGTTGCCTTTCACTTATTTGTTGCTTCTTCTTTTCTAAAATAAAAACCAACAACATTCTGCGTTTTGTGTGTGTGGGTGTGTGTGTGTGGGGGGGGTATACCTACATGTTAAAGTGATGGTCAACCCTGTCTCAGAGTCTTACTCCACCCACATTTCAATTTTGAAAAATGCACCACTAGCAGGCATTGCCTGGCGGACCGAGAGGGTGGGGGTGCAGCCATAATGAAGATGGACGGCTAACGAGGTGACACTAGCTTTTGACTCAACCTGAGCAGTCATTTGAAGTGAAGGACTTTTCTCCCCTTCTTAAACCTAAATTTATAGTTCTCCACCAGCTCCAGGAGGGAGAGACACGCATGGATGGAGAAGTTTACCTTGAGACTTCTCCATCTCCTGGGGAGTGTTGCAAAGCAATTCCCCGCCAGGACAACAGAGGGTGTAGTGCTATTCTGGGGTATCCGGGCATGCATCTATATGTTCCTAACCGAGCACTTCGCTCTCAGACTGCAGGTCTACTGGTGGTTCCCAGAATATCTAAAATTAGGATGGGAGGCAGATCTTTTAGTTATCAGGCTCCTCTCCTGTGGAACCAGCTCCCAGCTTTAGTCCATGAGGAAGACACTTTGTCTACTTTTAAGACTAGGCTTAAAACATTTTTATTTATAGGGCCTATGGTTAAAATCTGATGTTAGCCTACATCTGGACAAGTGGGGGAGTAGAGGGAGGTGGAGTGTACAGTCGGTAAAGACGGCTCTCCCTTGCCCTGCCTCCAACATGCCTCCATCTAAAAAGGCTAGGTTATCCAGAGTTATCTCTGTAGTTATGCTGCTATAGGCTTAGACTGCTGCAGAACACACTGACCACTTTTCACACTCTACTGCTTTCTTCTACAATCTGCTCTTTAACTGTATTATTTCCTGCTATTTCAGCTGTTAACTTTATTTTTTCTCTAAGTGTTTTTCTCCCCTCCAGATTGAAGTGGGTAACAAGCCCCGTGCCCTTAGCCTTGTGTACTGGACACACAGAGACTTCGTGGCCTGATTGCTGGCAATAATAACAAAGTTCTTACCAGGCTGATGAAGACTTGGTTCACGGGAGGGGTTACCTTCCACATCCTGAATGCTCCAGTCCCTGGTAGAGTTACGCTGCTCGGGCAGTGCAGCAGCTCTACGACTCCTGCTGTTGAACCCTGCACCAGGTCCTCCCCTCCGCGCGTTGAGAAACTGCATAGCCAGCTTTTCTGCCTTCTGTCCATCCGTCAGCTTGTGCTCCTTAAGCCACGTCCTCACCTCCAGGGGTAGCACTCGTAGGAACTGTTCCAGGATGATGGCCTCACCAATCTGCTTCTTTGTGTGCTGCGAAGTCTTGATCCAGCATTGATAGAGTCCCTTCAGATGGCAGTAGGTCTCTGCAGGCGTTTCCTCTGGTGGCACCGCCATCAGTCAGAACCGTTGTCCGTAGGTTTCTGACAATATGTTAAACTTAGCGAGTAGCGTTACTTTCAAATCAGAACAACGATGGGCTTTCTCTTTCTCTTTCACCGTATAGGCTGCCAATGCTTTAGCAGAAAGCAGCGGGACCAATCGACGTGCCCATTCAGTCTTCGGCCACTTCCAGGTTTTAGCAGTGCGTTCAAAGTGCATCAGATAATCCTCGATTTCCTCACCCGTTGTATATGGAGGGATCTTTGGATCAGAACGACTCTCCCAAGTACATCTTTGTCATACATTATCTCGTCGATTTCTCAGATTTTTTTTACAGGTGACGATGAAGAGGAATCTGTGAATGTGATGGGTTCCTTCTATAGAAAATATCTCTCCTTCTCCTTCTTCTCCTTCTCCTTCTTCTTCTTCTACAAAACTTGTAGAACATGCTCCACAATGGGGAAATAATCTCTATTGCCAAGTGTAGCATGATGAAGGTCCTCTAATTTGTGGCAAAGGTCACATTTACCCAGCTGGGTCAAACTCATAACATGCCTGTTACGGATCCTGGGCTCCCACACCTTGAATGGCCTAGTCCTGCTCCCACAATGCTGTTCAGGACCTTGGACAGGTCCTCCGTAAGGCTGGCCTCCGCCTCGGCCCGCCCACTCTGCACCAGCTGCGGACAATCTCCTGATGAGGAAATGATAGTGAAAAGGACTCTGGTTTCAGTTCCTCGGAGAGAGACTCACTGACCTAAAACCTCTGTCTTTCTCTCCTCGGTTAGATTCGTGTGACATTTGAGTAGCTTAGACTATAGTGTGAATAATAGTGTTTAATAGTGTTTAGTAACCGTTTGACCGTTTGAAGATCCGTTTGATTCTGCCCGAGTGAGGCTTTTTCGTTTCCGTTTCAGCTTTATAGCTCGCTTTTCGTTAACCCCCTTTTGGATATTGATAGCCGTCGAGTTTTGGTTTTTAGCTAGTTCCGGCTCGTTGTTTTCCGTTTTAGATCTCTAGTTATTGTCGTGTTTTCTTCCCTGGGACCGTTTGTCCCAGGTGTTTTGAGTTATCTCCGTGGTGGGTTTTGTTTAGTTTGACTTTGAACTTTTCCAGTCGAGGACTGTGCGTTTTGGTTAAATTCTGTGAAATAAATCCCTTTTATTCACCCTCACCCCTCCTTTCTCTGCATCAGTTTTTATGTTACCCCTTGCCACAACACCAAACACCTAGGGTTTGTAACAATGCCCTATAGGTTATAAATTGTAAGTCGCTTTGGATAAAAACGTCTCCTAAATGAATAAACATAAGCTGGGTCAAACAGTACTTTTAAATCCACAGATTAACCAAGGAGTCATGATGTCTGCGGAATATCATCCACTATCTGCTGCTGTTCCGTCCCAGAAGAAGGACACTTCAAGCTCACGATGATAATTAAATACTAATATTAATAAACTCTTTGATTTTATTACGCTTTATTATAATCATCATAAATGATCACTTGGTTCAGTATAAAGGTATTTTAACTACATGAAATGAATTATTATGCTTTGGGTATAATAATGATTAATTATGATTATGAGTGATGACAGGAATGTCTGTTCCAGCAAATAAGAAGGTCACTTCCACCTCATCCATCTAACACAGAGTTCATCTAAACAATAACTGCCAACACGTTTTGACGCATGACCAAAGCTTTCTTCCTGAGAGAGGGGGTGTGTTCTGAGAGCTTTGTAAACTAACCATCACCAGCTTCAAGTCAGTTCTTGAACCAACATCATCCTGAGGAGATGGGAACGGCCACCCTGACCCTCTGCCAAGCTGTTCTGTCACGCTGACAAGAATAGCTAAGAATAAACGACACTGTACCCAGCTGACGAAAACTCTTCCCAGAGTTATTGATTTCTGAATTAAGTTAAGATGCAAAAACTCCTTCAGAGTTACGGACTTTGAGAAGCAAATAGTTCCACCAGTCGAGTGAGCCAAGGAGACATCTCAGGACCGATTTGGTCGTGCTAGAGGTTTTTCTACCAACCTCGTGCCTGGAGGAAACCCATCTCCACCTGGACACTTTTTCAATCCAAAAAGGGGGTCTTCTGATTGGGTGAGGTAGACTTTGATGCTGTTTTCTCTAAGTAAACAACTCAGGAAGCTGCAAAACATCATTTCCATCCAGAACGCTTTCTCTCTCTGACAGAAACCTTCTGATAATTCCATTCATGCATCCAAACTCCTGGATATTTATACACGATCTAATCCTCATAGGTTAATCTGATTGGTCATTTCCAGAATCTCCAGCTGAATAGCAACAGTGTTGATTCTAGTATATAGATTAATCGCTACACAAGCCACGCATCTGAGGGTTGTTGATTTATTTACACACCATCGATCCAAAGTGTAGCATACGGTGGACACTTACACGGCAAGAAAAGAAAGTATTTACAATGAGCTTAGTCCAAAAATTCTCCGCTTCAGAGCATTTCTTCTCTCGCGTGTCCACCAAACACGCCAACAGTCTACCCCCTGGCACTCCCACACCACGACAGGCAATTATCCTCCTTATGAGGCTTTGTACCCCGCCCATGATTTACTCAGTGAAAACACATCCATTCACACTAAATCAGAAAAATAACCATAAACTAGACAATAACATTCCCCCTTTAGCTCATTCCCTCTAAGAGCAAAATACAAATAGAAAATGTTACAAAAATGCACATTTCCTGCATAAACACACTGAAAGTATTCCAACTATTTTTCCTCTTGTTAAGAAGAAGAAGAAGAAGATATCATTTCTATAGCGCCTCTCAAGATAAAAATCACGAGGCGCTTCACAAAAACAAAACAAAAAATGTTAAAATATAAAAAAGCATTTAGAAAATGTTTAAAAATATATTTAAAATGAGCAAAAATAGGCAATTGAGATTTAAAAGACAAAATGTTATGAAAGAGAGAGAGTGAATAGGAAAGAGGGAAATCAGTGGATCCTGAGGAAGGTGGAATAGGTGGGGAGAGCAGAATAAAGAGAGAGTGGTGAAGAAGGTCATACAAAAGCCAGCTTGAACAGGTGAGTCTTCAGCTGCTTTTTGAACCGAGGCAGACTCTATTCTGCTTCACAGATAAACATCTAATCATTTTAAAAGACATTTCAAACATCAACATGGGCATGTGTACCCTTGGGTACCTACCCCCTCTTAATACGGAAAGTGCGGGAATCGCGTTGAGGTTACAGAAAGAGACACATTTTCCCCCATATAAAATCTGTATTATCTGTTATTGAGAAAGGACCGGGCGGCCCATAGTTTCCTGCAGCTAGATGGTTTTTCAGGTCCTGGAAATACTGCTCGCAAGTGTAAGCCGGAGCGGAATTGGACTGAACTGACTGATACAGCAGGTGAAATGGCATTTCAAATGGGGAGACACCTGTAGACTCATGAGGAGTGGCCCGTATGGCCATAAGGACCAACGGAAGCTTCACATCCCAGTCTCGGTGATTAGAGGACATGTATTTCTTTAACATGCTGACAACCGTTCGGTTCATTCTTTCAACTTGGCCAGAAGACTGGGGCCGGAAACTAATGTGGAAATTGGCCTTTACATCCAAGATCTGCCAAAGATGTTCCATCACTTCAGAGGT